GCCACCAGGGAGGGCCCGGGCGCTTACTATTAAAGAAATCAGTTGTATGATTGAAATAATGATAGGAGAAGATAATTCCTGGAAAGCATCATTTTAATATAAGTATTTATTATAGACTAATGATACACATATATGTTCTGATAATTCTTTTACCACATTATCTCTAGGAGTTAACATTTTGGACTCAAATAACTTAAATGAAATCCTTTTTCTGTGAGTCAATGGATGAAATATATTGAATGTGTTCCTTAACCTTACTAAGCCTCATATTCCCCCTTATGGATTCACAAATGTGATGAAAATGGCAATTCATATTTCACATTTTTGAGGGTAGAGAGATTAAGTGAAGTTAGAATAGCAGTGTTCAACAATAGATTTAATATATATGGATATTATATGTATTACTTATTTTAATAGTTTTTTTTTGGTGTTGAAGCTGAATAGAAAAATTATAATCAATTTTGAGTTCATTAGTTTGCTCCTGTACAGGACTCTGTGAAATTTGTTCTAGCTATGTATTTAGTTTGGCCACTAGATGTCAGTAATGTTCACATGGCAAGTGGAAATTTCTTAGTCCAACCATGTTACTAAACTCTTGTATGAATTAGCAACACACTAATCAGTTACACAATTATTACAAACTAAATCAGTAACATTTTGCTTCTTATATTATCTAAAACAAATAACAGAAGTTCTTAAAATAGCTATCAGGCTAAGCAACTACCTGTGTTTTTTCAATGTTTTACATATATAATATTTATTTCCAAGATTAATATACATATCTTCTTCTTTTTTGAGGTATAATTGACATATGACATGTTAGTTTTGAGTGTGGAGCATCATAATTCCATTTATTTTTTGTATATTTTGTGAAATAATCACAGTAAGTCTAACATCTGTTCTTCAACAAAGCTAAAATCGCTTTGTTGTTATGAGAACTTTTAAGATCTACTTTCAGCAACTTTGAAATATGAAATAGGGCATTACTATAGTTCCCATGCTATCACATTGCATTCCTATGAGTTATTTGTTTTATAACTAGAAGTTTGTACATTTTGACCCCTTCACCCAATTCTCCCACCATCCCATACCCACCTATGGAAATCACTGGTCTGTTTTCTGTATCTATGAATTTGGTTTTCATTTTTCTGTTTCTAAAGATTTCACGTCTAAGGGAGATCACATAGTATTTGTCTTTCTCTGCCTGACTTATTTTATTTAACATCATGTCCTCAAGCATTATCCTTGCTGCCAAAGGCAGAATTTTATTCTATTTTGTGGCTGAATAATATTCATTTTATTACTGAAGATCGTTATGATAGAAGATTGCAACCGATAAAAATTAGTGTTGTCTCTTGGTGATCTATAGTGTTCCTTATAATTCTGGTTACACATTTTCATATCAAATTTTGACTCAAGAGAATAGGCTATCAGATCAGCTGGAGGAAAAACCGGATAAAGAATTAAGGTGCCTTGTGGTGTTGCAAAACAATAGTCTCAAAAACCCATGCAATAGACACAGCCACTTTGGAGGAAAGTCTCACAGATAAAATGTGTCCTGTGGGGGAGATAGGATGGTCACCAGAGCCCAGCAGGCAGGGAAGCAATAAAGTAAAGAAGCTATGCTGTCTCCATTTGGCAGTGGATATAGATGAGAGGCAGAACAAAAGTCTGAGCACAGATGAGTGAGAGCCAGTGCTAGACTCTGACACATGCCCAAGCCATGATCCTGTAGTTGACATTTGGTAGACTAGAATTCTGAACTCATCCCATGTCTGACAAGATTGATAGTCATAATCAATCCTCATATCAACACTTTTTTTGAAACTCAATTCCCAACTTACATGCTATCATGCAACAGTGACACATTGTACGTAAAGATTTATCTGCTCATTAAGATACTCTTCTGAGGAGAAAATAATAATAATAATGAACAACTATACCAGAGATATTTTACAGGGGTGGATTGGGAAATGGAGTCAAAAACAGCGGGAAGAGGAAAGTGCACTGGACTATGGTAATGGCAGATGGGTGATTTGGTGATGGGAAGCCCACAGGGATTACAACTGAGATGGAAAAAGTCACAAAATGGTGTAAAATATAAACTATTATATTATTAAAAAAAAACAAAAAAGATACTCTCCTGAAACCAGGTCCCACCATAAGATCACAGGACAATTCCATAGACCTAGATCACAGGGCTCGTGAAGGCAAATGGCTGACTCCATAAATTGGTGAGTATTGAGAGCCATAGTGTTCTCTGAAGAGGAAAATGGGGGGAATGAGTCTTATGTGTTTAGTCCAGACTCAGGTGACCCTACCCATAGCATTAATCTCCTGCAGTTCCCAAGCACCAGAAGTAGGCATAGAGGAAACTAGTCCAGAGCAAGAGTTCCTTGAGAAGGGAGGTTAGGACAGGGATTCTGCTCAGCAAGGTCTGAGTGTGGTACTTTAGTCTGACTGTGGGTTATTTCAAGACCAGCATTACTATGCACATCAAAACATGTTGTGTACACTATTATGCTTATATTGACTTTTCTTACTCCCACACATCAATTAAGCAAGAAAATTTCTTCATGCCATAGAATACTTAATATTATTTACATCAGCAGAAACTTTGCAGCAAAAAATTTGTCAGTAGACTCCAACTATAATTGGAATCAGAGCACACACCCTCATATCTAAAATGACTTTTAAAAAATACAAGTGTAATATATCTTGAATGTCCATGCTGTAATAGCGCATACTTTTCAATTCACAAAAACTTAGTTTATTAGGAAAATGTAAAGTAGAAGCAGAGAAAGAGGAAGAAGTAGAGGAGAATGAGAAGGAAGAACAGAAAGTAGAAAGAAAAACAAGTGAATGATTCTAAGAACAGGATGAATAAACATTAAGGTAAAAGTGAGTCAATAATTCTAGAGAAGGAAGCAGACATTTGAGGATTACTATAAAGACTATAAATGTAAGGAGCAATATATGTTCTAATTAAAAAGTTTTCACCTTTATCCATCACACATTTTAGTCCAAAACCATTGCTGTCTCCAGGATAACTTCCTTTTCCATGGTTTCTTTCCCTTCTCCAGGTACATGGGATGGGGGTGTAGAACATGCAGAAAAGTCAGCTTTGCTTTACCTGTGAGTCTTAACCCACTTCCAGCAAAAATGAAAAACCTTGCTACTATTCTATGTAACAAAATTTTTAAAAGAGCTCATACTATTAAAATTTGGGTAGCATATGGATCTGTTTTCCCAAATGTTACTGAAAACTATTCTTTCTTCACAAATATCTTTACAACCTGCTCACGGATCTGCTTGGTCCTGACTCCATAGATGACTGGGTTAAGGGCAGGTGGGACAACCACATATAGATTTGCCAAGAGAATGTGGATGTAATGGGGGATGTTGTGACCAAAGCGATGTGTCATGAAAGAGAAAAATGCCGGCGTGTAAAAGCACAGCATGACACAGATGTGAGACCCGCAGGTGTTCAGCGCCTTGAGGCGAGCCTCTTGAGAAGGGAGGTGGAAAACAGCTTGTAGGATAAGCACGTAAGAACAGGCTATCAGAATCACATCCACAACAATGTTGGAAATCACCATGAGCCCATAGATGATGTTGATTCTGATGGGAGCACAGGCGAGCCGGGCAATGCCCATGTGCTCACAGTATGTGTGAGGGATGACGTAATGTCCACAGAAGGGCAGCCTCAGAATGAGAAACACAAAAGGAGTCACGAGAAGTAAATTTCTCCCAACAACAACAGAGACTAAGATGCTGATGGTTTTATTGGTGAGGATCATGGTGTACTGGAGAGGTTTGCAGATGGCAACAAAACGGTCGTAAGCCATGGCCACCAGCAGAACAGTCTCCATGCCTGTGAACATGTGGATAAAAAACATCTGAACAAGGCAAGCCCCAAAGTTGATCTCTCGGAGGTTGAACCAGAAGATCCCCAGCATTTTAGGGATGGTGGAGGTGGACAGTCCCAGGTCAATCAGAGACAGCAGGGCCAGGAAGTAGAACATGGGCTGGTGGAGACTGTGTTCAGTCTTGATCACAAAGAGAATGGTGATGTTGCCCACAAGGGCAATCAGGTACACGATACAGAAGGGGAGAGCAATCCAGATGTGCACATTTTCCAATCCAGGTATTCCGAGCAGGATAAAGAAGGGAGGATGGAGCTGGGAGTCATTGGCAGAAGACATTCTCCTAGCAAGAGTCACAGAATTTCTATTAAGGGGGAAATCTCACTTTCTTTAAGATTTTTTTCTCATCAATATCCTGGAAAGACAGAAAGTACTCTAATTGGAATGCTGGAGGTAATCACAAAAAAAAAAAAAAAGTAGTTAACTCACAAATGCTGGAGATTCCTTTATTTCTAGAGAGTTGAACAACACTCTCAGTACATTTTACCAATCCTCAAGATCCACCATAGATAATATTGTACATGGCTTTAACATTTTCTAACATATGATATCTTTAAAGTAACTGACATTAGTTCACCAAGTAGTGTAAACATATATATTTTTAGTGTTCCCTTCCATTCCTTTTCTTAGTAGTTTATTGGTTATTTTTGGGAAATTACTATACCCAGTGGCTCTCCAGTTGGGGTTGGGTATTAAAGAATTTTAAGTCAAGTGAAACTGATTTGTTACCATTGTTTATACTTCGATATTACACAAATAAAGGGATTTTCTATAGGGGTTATATATATATATATACATATATATATATATATATATATATAAAGTACATTCACATCACCTAAGGGAACTTACTCAAATGGTCTCTCTTAGAATTTTCCTCATTCTATTTTTACTATGAAACCACTGCTATTGTTGATGCTTCCTATGTTTTTTTTTTTTTTTTGGGTTGGTTTGTTTTTTTTTTTAATTGAAGGAACTTTATATTCTAACAGGATGTAAGTTTCAGGTGTACATCATTAGGAGTCAACATTTGTAAACCTACAATGAGTCACAGCTGTATACAATTCTACCCTTTACTGTATCATTGCTACCTTTGTCTCCAATTACTCATTCCCTTCTCTGTAACCACTAACTGATTTTATGTCCAAAAATTTTATCTTGTTTAGTTCATCTCTTTGTTTGTTTCTCCATATGCCACCTATGAATGAAATCATATAGTTTGTCTTTTTCTTTCTAGCTTACTTCACTAGTTGCTTTCTAACCTTATAGCATGACCTTGGTTTGCAGTCCTATACATCCAGACTATTTATTTTTGTATTACTTTGATCCTCTTCCAATAAATTTATTATTGCTTATAGGCTAAGTTCTACTTAATTTCCTATAACCTGTAATACTGATAATTAACTTACTAAATTACTATTTCTTGGCATGTTGTATCTCTTAAATAATGTACAGCTCTGCAATAACTTGCCTGATTTTATTTATGTATTTGTATATTATTTAAGAGCATAATACTCTTAAATAGCATTTAATGGGGGGATAATCAATTTAATATTCCTAAAAGTTCCATAAAATGATATGTGGTTCCCAGTTTTTCAGAATGTGCCTGTTTGATAGAATCAGAATAAAGGGTTTGCATATGTTCCTGTGTGTGTGTGCGTGAGAGGGAGAGAGACAGAGAGAGAGAAAGAGATTCTGCATATTACTCATTGACTTATCACTGTTTTCACCTGCAGATGTTTGTTCCAAAATGTGTGCTTTAAAGTGTGTGTGTGTGGGGGGGAGGGGGTCCCTGGTGGCACAATGGGTTAGAGCGCAGCACTGCAAGCTAGCTGAAGCCAACTCAGTGCAAGCTCTATCCCTGGCCCTGGAGGTGACCCATATGGAGTAGCAGACCTCTTCTGACCCGCCCGCTGCTCCACTCTGCAGTGCTCTTTGTCAGTCGGCCTGTTCTGCTTCCCACTCTGTCTCTGGTGAATCCTCTCGCTGCTCCTGCACCTCTGACTTGTACCCCAGTTCTGTATGCATAAATAAATAAATCTTTAAAAAATAAAAAAATTAAAAACAATAAAATAAAGTGTGTGTGTGTGTGTGTGTGTGTGTGTGTGAGTGAAAAGGAAGGTATTGGGAGACACTCTTTAGCAAAGTGGAGGTAAAGGTCTCGTTTACCTTTTGTTCTCTTTCAGTAGCATCTCAGCAATGCTGTCCAATGTCCAAACATCTTGGTCCCTCTGATATTCCTTCTCCCCGCCTCACTCCGAGCAGAATCACAGCATGAGTGCCAGTTCTTCAAAATGGTGATCAGAGCCCCTTTTAGTCTCTGGGCTCTGAGGCTCTCCAGTTACCTGGAGAAAAACTATAGTGAGTGAGGGTGTTTTTAAAGTCTATGTCCCAGAATCCCTAAGCTCAGTCTTCAGAGTCCTCTGGGCATAGACATGGGCTTGTGGATCACTAAGTCCATCTAACTCTGTTCCAGAAGACATCACTCTATGCAGAGAAAAAAAAAATCACTAAACCAGATATAGTTCCCTAGCTCAGGGGAAGGCATGAGCTTCTAGGAACAGAAGTATCCTGGGGGGTGGGAGGTGGGGATGATACTGATTCTGACTCTTTCAGAAGCTACAGACACAATGAGTTAACACTACTAAGGCTTCAAAATGTGACTGCTTAGGCAATTACTTAGCAACTTTTCTGCTTTTTAAAAATATAAGTATGTGAATTCTGATTATAGTTGCCACTTCAAAAAATAATTTGAAATAAACATTACACTTTGGAAGCAACTTAAGTTTTTATTTGTAAAAAATGGTATTAATTTTCTTCCAGCCCAGCAAGACTCTCCTTTCCATCTATAACTAATAGTAAACAGAAAATCTCTGGAGAGCGATTTCCTTGTGTCCCAGCAATATTGATAGATTATGAATGAAATTCTACTTTATCATGAGAAAAAAAAAATAATGCAGACAGAGCACTGGGTCTAGATTTTTCTTATAGTTTCAATTCCTGGATGATGATGAGCTGTCATAGGTTAAGTTTTTCCTAAGAATATATAAGACAAACATTTTTTTATTTTTTGTCTTTGAGGTTCAGACAATTTTGAGTTCCAAGAAAGAAGGTAATGTCTGTGATCCAAAACACATCTTGCTAGATAAGTGCGTTCTCTTTTTCATTGCTCTCTTTGATGAATGAGAACCTTACCCCTTGGTCCTTGGTCAGTCCCTAGCGCATCCATTCTTGTTATTGTAGAAACACTCAACTTCCATCCCTTTTTTGCCTATTACAACTTGGTATGATAAAGTACTAACATTGCAGTCTAAATCCTTCTGTCAATACCCATTCAAACTTCCATTCTATTTCATGACTCTGCAAAAACATTAGCCATATCTGTGATCCAAAGTCCTACTGACAAAAGTGTGACTGCTCTCCTCTGCTTTCCTCAATCTCCCTCAATTACCACATCCTCCCAATGGACATGGCACAAGCACCCAGATGTGATCGTACAGGTGTACAACACTTATCTCATGCCCCACCCCTTTTACTTTAGGCTCAGTGTTTCTTGGCTAATTTTATCATTTATTTCCATTTTTATGTTGTAGTGAAGTACAACTAACACAAAATGTAATCTTTTAGCCCTCCCTGGTGGCGCAGTGGGTTAAAGCACTGCACTAAGAAGCTTAAGCCACTTCTGCATGAGTTCTATTCCCGCCTGTCCCAGAGGCGATTCAGATGGGTGGCAGACTTCTCCGTCTGACCCGCCCGCTGCTCCACTCTGCAGTGCTCTTTCTCAGTCGCCCTGTTCTGCTTCCCACTCTGTCTCTGGTGAATCCTCTCACTACCCCTGCATCTCTGGCTTGTGCCCCAGTTCTGTATGCACAAATAAAAAAATCTTTTTTTTTAAAAAAGTACTCTTTTAAGTAATTTTTAGTTCCCTGCTATAAAATTGTGCAGTTTTACCACCATAACCACCCCACAGCTCCAGAACTTTTTCATTCTGCAAAAACTGAAACTGTAACCCATTAAACACTAATTTAGCTTTTTTTTTTTTATGTTTTCAGTTTCTATTTCATGTATTTCTGCTGTGATCTGTTACTTTCTTCCTTCTAATCACTAAGGTTCTTTTTCTAGTTCCTCAGGCACACAGTTACATTGAGATCTTTTTCTTTTTGATGTAGGTATTTATTGGCTTAAATTTCATAAATCTTCCTTTGATGCTTTCTATTTGTTTTAATATTTTTTTTTGTTTTCTTTGTCTTTTGATTTCTTCTACAACCCCTTGGTTATAATTTAATTTACACGTTTGCCAATTTCCTTCCACAGTTTCATACCAGTGTGATTAAAGAAGATGCTGGATGTGATTCTAATTTTTGGTGGCCTATTTACTTATCTTACTACTTTTTTCCTATTTTTTTTTTTGCAGCAGTTTATGTCTTAATTGGAGTATCTTTATTCTGTTGCTCATCTCATTAATGTAAGTCCTCATTAATATTTGTCTTTTTTTGCTGTTTCAGTGGTATCTGTAGATTTCTGTGGCTCTTTGAAATTATACATAGTAGAATGAAATAGAATTATATAATGATCAGGTTGATAATGTACACACAGAACTTTCTGAGAATTTGTTGAGGATGTTTCAAATCCATTGATAAATTTGATATTTTTAGAGTATTGAAACTTACAGTTCATGAACATGTTAAATCTCTACATTTATTTGTTTTCTTTAAAGAAATTAGTGATGTACTGTACTTTGTGCAGAGTTCTTGTATATTTAAACATTTTTTAGTCATGAATTTTTATGGTATTGCAAATTTTAGTACAGTTATGTTTTTCATGATCTTTACAGTTAGCACCAATCTTTTATTTATTTTTAATTGAGGTAATATTTTTTGTTCTGTATTTGTTGCCTGTAAATATAAAAATACAATTAACTACTTTCATACTGACCTTACATATAGAAATTTCCTTATAATAATAATTTATGGAAGATTTTAAAAAGTCACACTGAATTATTTCTGGAGTGCATAATAAGTGTTAACCTCCTTTTCAAATTTTTATATCTTCTACTTTCAACTTTATTGCTTTTTGTCTTTTTTATGGTTTCCAATACAAGTGGGAATAGAAGTGATTTGGTTTGTTCCTGAACCAAAAATATTAGCACTGTTTAAACATGCAATTGTTTTAGGGACTTCTCTATATCACATCAATCAAGTTCCACTTTATTCTTCCTTTCCCAGGTTTTTAACAGTTTGGTATTAAATTTTATCAAATATTTTCTCTAAATATATTGA